TGGTTGGGTGGATCTGTGGCATACGTCTGAGGTGTGTGGGGGGGGGTGCACAGGGCTGGACACAGAGCGGGGTGGGGGCAGTTGCTTGCTGCCAGATGCAGAATGACAGCATTGCGGGGCTGTGGGTGGTGGCTCTCTGTCCCGGCCACCGGCCAGTCATTCTTGATGGGCACTTTACTAGTATCTTTTATAAAGATATCTAGTTCCATATATCAAGTGATGATGCACTTACTACATCCTTTGGTAAACTGTTCACTAATAATTCTTCACTCTTAAGAATCTGAATCTTATTTATATTTTGAATTTCAAACATCACCTAGTATACTTTTTCCAAGTAGTTACCTATGGGATTTGATCAAGTCACCTCTTAACTGTCTCAGTTTCAAGTAAAATAAGTTCCTTGCCCATCACAGATCCCAAGCTTAATCCTTTTCCCAGCTGTGCCTGCAGGAGTCAGTAATGGACTCTGTCCCCAGAGATGTCTGGACCTGACCTGATGGGAGAAGACATCTTTTCCCTGATGCCACTTTTTGACAGCAGGAATAGTCTGATTTAAAAAAAACTGCTGAACACTCAGCAGTTGGTATCCCCAAAGACTACAAGATGCCCAGCACTTCAGAAATAGGGCTGCTTATTAAGATACCTAAATCAGGCTGCATCCAGTGTACATTTTAAAAACCCTGAACAAAAATATGTAGGTTCCTCAAAGACACCTGCTTATTTTTACCTGTTGATGCTGCTACTGCCCCTATGAGCACGGAGGGGATGGCCATTAAAAGGCATCCCAGCCCAGAGAGATAGGAAATGAAACTTGCTTGTCTTGGTGAGGCGGCTGAGAGAATTCGCTGGAAATAAGTTTGAAATGGGATACTTCCAAGAACCTGAAACATTCAAACATTAATGCAGTCTTCCTAGCCTGACATCACCAACATTATAATTATGGTTGTCATTATTGATAGGGATGCTAGTTTTCCCTTTCATAAAGCTAACTTCCTATTATAAAAATCATGATTTCATTTACATATAACTTTGTATATAATTTTGCTAAATTGTACTCATTAAGGCTGAAATTTCCCTTGCTCGATATTTGCCTTTTTAATTCAACCAGAATCACCAGCTGCCATATAGCACTTGTATCGGATGGGACTATCCAGCAGCACAGTAAATTAGTCTACTGCACCTTAATTGCCATGCATATGTAAACAGTGATGCTTTGCTGTGCAGCAAATTAGTCTGCTATGCAGTAAAGTGTCTCATGTAGACATGCCCTGGGCGTCAGAGGGGGAGGAGGTTAGCAATGGGAGCCAGAGGAGATGGAACGGTCTGGCCAAAGAGACAAGGATCAGAAACTAAGTGAGGGAACAGTGGGATTGGGAGTGTGTGAGGGAAATGGGCCTTGGGATTATTTGGCTGGAGGGTCAATACCAAGACTGATGAGAAGATGGAAGGGAAGGGGAGAAACTTGAGAACTGGACAGGGACTAGGAACAATATAGGGGCCGAGGGGACACAGGTCTAGTGTATGAAGGGAAGGGTGTGGGACTGGCTAGGCCAGTGGCTCTCAGCCCATTTCAGACCCAAGGCACCCCTCAATAAATTCAAGCTATCCCCTCAATAGTCTCAAGGTACCCCTCAGAAAATGCCAGCTCATAGGTGTCACTCATTTTTTTACCACAGAAAAATAATAGAGGAATTCTTCTGTTGCAAATAACTCATAAAGGCCACAGCAGGGCAGAATGATTTTAACTCTATGGATTCCTGTTTCAAATCTTTGGATTTATATTGTGAATCATGTCTGCACACCTAACATAGTGTGGCACTCTGTGGCACTTGGCTCCCTTAAAAAGATCTCATGGCACCTTGAGAATCACTGACCTAGGCAAAGAAACTAGGGCAAGAAGCTGGGCAGGGTGACAGATTAGATGAGGATCTTAAACTAGAAGAAGAAGATTGGGAGTAAATGGGAGAAACGATTAGATGGAGAGCCAGGAGTGGGAGCTGGAACTGGCTGTGCAAGGAGTCCGGGGTCAAGGAGATGGAATACAAAGAATGAGCAAATACCCTAGGAGAGAGTGAAAGGAAAGAGAGCCTGGGAGTAATAGGGTAAGACTGGGACTTGGGCAGTGAACTTGAAGTAAGAAGACCTGAAACTGGGTGAGTGGGAAGAGTTGGGCTATGATGAGAATGGCTATGGGAGGAGTCTGGAGCTGGGCCAAGCAGTAGAAGACAAGACTGGGACTGGGACTGGTTGGAGAGGATGGAGCAGAAGGAGTCAAGTTTGGGGAGAATGGGTGAGAGACTGTGTCCACTTGAGCACACTCCCCTGCAGAGCTTGGTGTGGAACCCAAGATTCCCCTATCTGGTCAATCTCCTGTTATCAGCATCTATCCATTGGACCTGTGCGAGTCAGCAGCGATCTGATCCAGCTTCAGAGCTGGCTGCTTCAGATGGCCGTGATCTGATCCGGAGCTCTGGATCGGGTTTCCGCTTCAATCCAGCTGAAGCTTCAGAGCCGCCTTGGAGATCCGGCCATAGAGTATAATGGGGAATCAACTAAATAGCTATAATTTTGTTGTTTTTTGTCCAATTTGGATGAAACTTGCAGGAATTGTAGCCTCTGCTAAGAGAATAAAATCTGCCAAGTTACAAGAAGATCGGTGCAGGGGTTTGGGGGGAACTGCACCACGAGCTGCAGACAAGCAAAACTTGTGACATGGGTGACACTGTGTGTGTTAAGGCGCAGCAGGATGACAGCTGCAGGGATGATGGCCCCTGCTGAGGCCACGACACCTGCCAGCTGTGGAGGAGATCGGTGCAGGGGGGTTCTGGGGCCCTGCACCCCTAGCTGCTGACAGACAAAACTTGTGCCAAGACTGTCTGTCCTGGGGCAGCTGATTGTATTGATTCTTTCCTCTCCTTAGCCTGGTTTTGTAGGTGCTAATTGATGCTCCTTAAGTCATTATGTAGTAGCTGGGTCCTGTGTATTGAGCTGGTCCCTGAGTCCTTGGTCCCTGAGTGAATCATGATTGCTTGATTGGTAACTGGTAACACAGCAGCTTAGCAGCCAGGCCTGCAGTACTGTCTCCCCTCCCCACCCCAAGCCAGAGACAGTCAGTCCCACAAGCACCCATGGCACGAGTTGTGCTTGTCCACAGCTTGAGCAGAAGTTCCCCCCAAACCCCTGCACCGATCTTCTTGAAACTTGGCAGGCTTCATTCTCTCTGCAGAGTCTACCATCCCTGAAAATTCCACCCAAATCAGACAAAAAACAACAAAGTTATAGATATTTTATTGTTTCCCCATTATACCCTATGGCCAGATCTCCGAGGTGGCTCCGAACTGCTTTGGGAAGCCAAATGAGGTTGGCGCTTTGACCCAGATATGCTGCTTCAGACCCTGAAGCATCCGAATTTTCTCCAGATCCGAAGCTCTTTCCGAAGCCTCGCACGGCCCTAATATCTATGAAATACTGGCGAAGCAGATATTCTCCTCCCTTCTACTGCTGTTTTACAAAGATGGCAATCTACTAATGCTATGAGTTACTTTGAGTGATCAAGGCAGACAAGGTTCTTTGGGTAAACATGATATATTTTAGTAGACCAACTAAATAGTTGGAAAAATTGGGTTTTTTTGCAAGCTTTCAGGCACAAACGCCCTTCTTCAGGCAGAGAGAGATTCTGCAGTTTTTTACTTGTCTGTCTATGTCCTTAGACCAACACAGCTACAACCAGCACCTCAGAGAGATCAAGTACAGGACTGTGCTCGACTTGGGGATGACGCATGCAGGTGGCATTATGGGAACATATGATGGAATTTCTGAGGGTTTTTCAGCTCTCTAAAAATAAAAGAAATTACAGGCAACTAGGTTAAAAAAAGGTTGCTTGGTTGAGCACTCAAAAGTTAGGAAATTTCTCATTCAGTGCCCAGAATTGAACAGTGGTCTCCCCATTCCTGCTGATGAGCTGCTTTCCTTTACATGGCTGAAATGAAGGAGAGAACTGAGCCTCCTTAATGACTCTACTTCTTCTGGCCCTGTTCAGAGTATCAGAGCCAACCCTGGTGTGAAGTAAATGTCTGGCTTCCTCTCCCATCTGCCTGATAATCAAACATCAGCTTATCAAAATCCTTCTGTGCTGTAAACAACAGGAACCTCCTGTTCTTAGGACTGGGTTTGGAGTAAGCAACTGTACCATTCACCCAGCTCACCCAGTCCCACAAGGAACATTTCTTACCAGATATAAGAAGTCATCCAGCCACCTTCCAAGATACTCTTTCTCTATTTTTCCAATCCAAGGGGGTTGGTAGAAGTCATGAGTAGCAGTATAAGAAATGCTTTCTGTTGCAGAATGTATCAGGGCAAATGGGATGCAGATCCACTGGGATTAAAATGGAAACAATGAATCTATGCCCCCTCACTTCTCTATCAAACTCATGCTCTGCACCCTTGCCTGCAAAGTTCTCCAGAGTCTGCATTCTTAATTTCCTCCTTTTCACCTACTTCTGCCACCTACACCAACCCAGGCCTTCTGTCTGGACATCCATCTGCTTGTGTTTTCTTCTCCTGCTTTGGTCTTCGTTTCATACCACCTTTTATTCCTATAGACCACTTCCTTTTCCTTTTGTTTTCAAGCAGTTCTACCAGCCTCATTCAAATTCCTTTTTTCATACATGTTCTTCCCACAAGGCCTTTCAGTGCTGGCCCAGTATAATTCATTATGCTTCTCATCTGTCGTAGACTACTGTACACATCACATACACAGCAGTAGTTTCATATTTGGTAGAGTTGGAAGGGACCTAAGTGGATCATGAAGTCTGAACCCCTGCCCTGGGCAGGAAAGGATGCTGGGATGAAACGACCCCGGCGAGGTGGTTGCATAGCTTCCTTTTGAAGATCCCCAGGGTAGGAGCCAGCACCACTTCCCTCAGAAGTTGGTTCCAGATCATTGCCGCCCTGACTGTAAAGTAGCGCCTCCTGATATCTAGCCTGAATCTGCTCTCAGTCAACTTATGGCCGTTATTCCTTGTTACTCCCGGTAGTGCTCGGGGGAACAGGGACTCTCCCATAGCCTGCTGGTCCCCCCCCACTAGTTTGTAGATGGCCACTAGATCCCCCCTCAGCCTTCTCTTCTGGAGGCTGAACAGGTTCAGGTTCCGTAGCCTCTCCTCATAGGGCCTGCCCTGCTGTCCCCTGGTCATGCAAGTGGCCCTCCTCTGGACCCTCTCAATGCTGGCCACATCCCTTCTGAAGTGCAGTGCCCAGAACTGGACGCGGTACTCCAGCTGCGGCCTGACCAGTGCCACATAGAGGGGGAGGATCACCTCCTTGGATCTGCTCGAGATGCATCTGTGGATGCATGACAAGGTGCAGTTGGCCTTCCTGACTGCGTCCCCACACTGCTGGCCCATGTTCATTTTGGCATCAATAGTGACTCCAAGATCCTTTTCTGCCTCTGCACTGATGAGAAGGGAGTTCCCCAGCCTGTAGGTATGGTGCTGGTTCTTCCTCCCCAGGTGCAGCACCTTGCACTTGTTAATATTGAAACCCATCCTATTCTCATGCTCCCACCCCTGTAACCTGTCCAGATCTAGTGGCAGCCTGTCCCTCTCCTCCAGTGTGCCCACTTCTCCCCACATCTTAGTGTCATCCGTGAATTTGAACAAGGTGCTTTTCACCCTCTCGTCCAAGTTGCTGATGAAGACATTGAACAGTGCGGGCCCAGGGACTAAGCCCTGGGGGACCCCACTGCCCACAGCCCTCCAAGTTGAAAATGACCTGTCCACCACAACTGTCTGGGTGTGGCCCTCCAGCCAATTTGCAACCCATCTGACTGTGTAGGCATCAGTGCCACAGTCGCCTAATTTTTTAATAAGAATGGGGTGAGAGACAGTGTCGAAGGCCTTCCTAAAGTCCAGAAGGACTACGTCCACCATGACACCTGCATCCAAGGATTTTGTGACCTGGTTGCAGAAGGCCACTAGGTTGGTCTGACAGGACCTGCCTCGAATGAACCCATGTTCAAGTAGTGCCCAACCTTTTAAGCCCATGGGCTGGATGAGTAATGTAGGGTAGGTCCGTGGGCCAGATATCATCTGTGGACCAATTGAGCACATGGGGCTGGGGCCTGATCCAGCATGCAGGGCCAGTGTCCAATCCAATATGCAGGGCCAGCCCAGCTGCGGCCTGATCCAGTGTGTGTAGCCAAACTAGCATGTAACCCCAGTCCTGCATACCAGATCAGGTTTCAGCCCCAACCCCAATCCCACATGCCAAATTAGGCCCCATGGCAGATAGCACTCCTTACCCCAGCTCCACACACAGGGCCATGTAGTCTGGCCTGAAGGGTGTGGTACTTTGGCAGCAAGGGAGTGGTGACAGTATTAATTGCCACTGCTCCCTACACCACCAAATTTCCAGACCCATGGAGAATAGATTTATGGATGACATGGCTCCACAGGTTGGATCTGACCCTCAGGCTAGAGGCTGAGTACCAATGACCTACAGCAAAAAATGCTATACATTTTAAAATAATTATTCAATTTTCAAATGGAGAGCAGAAATGGGCCACCAAAAATGGTCACCAGGGAGAAAGTGTTTTCAAAAGTCTTGGCATCTACACGTGCACCTGTATTAGGCTGGAGTAAACTCTGTAACAGGCTAGTAATTGTATTTAAAAAACTCGTATAGTTCTTGTATTTAAAAAAAAAAGCTTTGCAGCAGCACATGTATAGATGCTGACACAGCTGATTGAGGCATGAGGGTGTTTCAGAGCGGTGGCTACCTTCTGACTAGCCCTGTGCTGAAGCACCCTCGTGCCCCAGCCAGCCCCTCCACAGCCCAGCCTGCTGGGCCCTGGACTGGCAGGCTGATCCCTGGTGCTCTGCTAGCCCAGTTCAACCCAGATCAGTGGGGATTCCCCACCCAGCCTGTGGTTTGCTACTAGCTGCCCCACCGGTGGATTGGGGCAGGGGGCTGGGACCTGCCCCCCCCCTTCAGCTCTTTCCAAGCCCCACGCTTCAATTGCCCGATGGGGGTGAGAAGCTGGGACCTGCCTCTGACCAGGATAGTTCCCAGCCCCCACTCCACAATTGCGGGGTAGGAGCTGGAGTGTTTGTTCCCCACTCAGCTCTGTGATTGTGGAGCTGGGTGGGTGGGGAACAAGCTCCCCAGCCCCCACAAGCAGGGAGGTCCTAGTGCCAGCTCTACCTTCATGGGGCCAATGCTGGGAGAAAAGAATCTCCCAGCGCCAGCCTTGTGAGCCCAGAGCCAGCCCTAGGAGATAAGGGTCTCCCAGCCCCTACTCCCCAATCACAGTCTCGGAGCATGGGGGCCTAGAGATCCTGCTGCCAGGGCAGGTGAACATAGCTACCACCCAAGCTCTGGTGGTCGAGCCTGTCCCAGCAGCAGGCAGCTCCCAGGGGAAGGAGCAATCTTCTGCTCCCTGGTGGCCAGTTGACTGGGAGAAGATTTGCTCTTGGTCGAGTGTCTACATGAGCATTACTGCACAGTTAATAATTGCAAGTAAATTTGTTGCTTGCATTTGCAGGCAGAAAATTTACTCACAATTAGTGAGGTTTACTGTGCAGTAAGCATGTGAACATGTAGACACACATGCTTACTGCTCAGTAAGCTACACTGTTTTGCAGTAAAGTGTCTTGTGTAGATGCACCCTGTATAAGCAACAGATGAACAACTAAACTGGGGTCTGGGACCAGTATGCCTAGAGTTAGTTTGGACTGACTGGTGAAAACATGAGTAGAATTTTTTCCCTCATACATAGTTGCATACCATAAGAAGACTGATAAGAGAAGTGTTCGGGACTTACCAAGCTGAGCATAAGAAAAAGCAGCTGTACCACATCTGTGTATGCAACTGAGTATAGGCCTCCCAGTAAAGTATAGAGTATAACAGCAGATGCTGAAATAATGATAGACAGATAGCTTTTGATGCCCAGAATGACTTGCATTGTTGCTCCTTTAGAGAGAGATAGTTTTGAATTACTATAATATACCAATATCATATTGAGCAAAAAAAGTAGTTAAATGATACAAATATTACAGAAGTTTAGTGGTTAGCATACAGAGCTAGAAGCCAAAGATTACTGAGGTCTATTTTTTGGTCTGCCACTAACTTACTGTGACTTTGTCCAAGTCACTTTACTTTTTATATTTTAGTTTACCTATCTGCAACATGTACATAATACTAAATTGTAAGTAAAGCATTACCATAAAAGTATGCATTTTTTGCTATAAGGGTTCATTAGTTTCTATCAATTTTGTTTAAAATCTGCAGGAGAAGATGGGAAAAGGAAAAAATGAACACCATATTTTCCCAAATGAAGGATAAACAAACAACCTGCAAAAGTAGTATGAAGTGCAACTCTCTGTACTTAATTCAAAGGATATTTTCCATGCCTATCTCCTGCTCCTTATTTGTCTATTTCTTGCTAGTTTTTTAATTAAACACAACAGCAAAGCACATATATTTACCTAAGGAAGCAAGAATAGCTGCAAACCAGAATATATCTCCTATCAATGATGGAATAAAGAGAAGGCTTGCAATCATGTTCCCATATGTTTCTTGGAGAGGGTCCATCATTGTCACATAATTTCTGGATCTCATTGGCTTTACAAAGAAGAGACCACCTATTGAAAAAGACAATATTTTCATTGTATGCTGTGTGTATCATCTCCTGAGGTAAAGGATCAGTACAACCCTCTTGTCTAAATGGCATCTGGATTAAGGCCAAACCCTACTCAGCATTTGCTAGTCACACCATATCATTCTGCTAATGTTTTCCCATTACGATGTCAGCCAGGCTGTCATCTCTATAATATATGAAACAGCCTTTCTTACCCAGTTTTTGAAATGTAATCTATAACCAGTGTTTTCAGGTGAATTAAACCACCCTCTTATGGGTCTTTCATTATCTTAAAAAATATGCTTTGGCCATAAGAAGTCAATACGTTTATCTTTCATTTTGTAAATGCTGAATACCATGCAACCTGCCAAGGTAAATACCATACTACTTTCAGGTATGTGTATAAAGCCTACAACTCCATTCTCTCTAACCAGGATTATCATTTTCTTTTTGACATCCAACCTTCGTAATGTGAGGTAAGTCCTAAATTCCTTTCTCACCTGAGCAAGCCTGGCTCACACAGGGAGCTCCATTACAACTGGTGAATGCATCTAGTGCCTAATCCTGAAGCCAACAGAATGGCTTGTCTGAGAATGACTGCTAAAGGCTACAGGATTGGTCCCACAGTGGTTGGGGCATCGCATATGAAAAGGATTACTCACATGAAGAAGGGTTGCAGTCTCACAGATTTTTGGGCCTGATTCATATTGGAGTCAGGGGGAACCTACCCACTGATGTCAGTGGATCATGCTCTTCATACTCTTCACCAGATAAATATTTCCTAGTGTGCACCCCATTCTTTTGTGTCTCAATCTTTTCCCTATTGCATCTGCCTGGAAAATTGGCCCACAGAAAGTACTGGTCCCATACTTATTACTTCAGTTTTATATTAGTTTGACATTATAATAGCAGTCGTGACAGATTGATAATAACAATGTCAAGAGAAAGGTACAATTTGATGCCAGCCAGGTACACCCTAACCCTGCTTATTATAACGCTAGACATCTCCCTGAACAGACTAACCCAAAAGTCATCAAAAGTGCTTGTTAGAGTTTGCTAAGGAGTGGACAAGCTCAGCAAAATTGGTTTTCCTAGAATGCCTCCAAACTGGGGGAGGCTAAGATTTTTCACTGTGTGACAGCTGCTCTGAAGCTAGTCAGTGAGTCAAAGCCAGAGTATGCACAGAAGTGACTCTGCATGTGTGTCAACGACAGGGGAATGTCAGAAAGTCTCATCACTGGTTTCGGGGTCTAGAGCAGTGGGGCTGCAGAGTCTCACGTCCCAAGAACTCTGGCCAGATTGAAGGTCTGAACCTCAGTGCGTTCCTTTGGGACATCTTGTATAACTTTTCAACTTTTCTTTTGTCTTGTCTCCATCACTAGTGCTCCCTTTCCCAGTCTTTTCCTTTGTATTTAAATTCCTCTTTATTTAAAATCCTTTTTCCAAGTCCATTAAGAGCGCCTGCTGAAGTACACAATCACTTACAAAGAATCATAGCTCTATGAACCAGTTAGTATCTCAGGTGCCGCCCTGCCCTGCCTTCTGCCACAGAGTCTGTCAGCCCAGCCCTGCACCCAGCATGCACTGACAGATGTTAATGAAGGTGCTCCGCTTTGGAGTACCTTCATCTGAACCCTCATGTAATCATAGGAATAATATTCCCATAGACCATCACATGCAAGGTACAGATGGTCTGCCAACTACTCAGGCAGTTCTCTGACTGTTCTGGCATGTACAGTCCATGCAGAATCATGTAACAGCCCTTAATCTTTGACAGTTACCCGGGGTTCATTAAACTACTTTAGATTAACAGCACTGGATTTTTAAACAATGGGTTCCTGAAATACTTTTTACCGATAACAAGGGACAAAGCAAATCCTACAGGTGCTTGGACCCACAATAGTCCTCTTGTGGGTAGATAGACAATTTCAGCTGTACCATTGATATACGCTCCACCGACCCAGGTGGCTGCAAGAAAAGAATTAGAGGAGAAAGTTAGAAAAGAGAGCTATGCCGCATATTTCCCGCTAGCCTCCCTAAAACGTGCTAGAAACCCCGGTCTGTATTGAGAACATTTTATTCACACACAAATATTTTTTCATAGTTGTATTTACTTCCACAATACTACTCTTGGAGTAGGATATGCTATCCAGTGTGAGTAAGGCAATTATACGCCACAGTGGATAGCTGAGTTTGCATTGAAGAAACATTAATGTTTACATTTTTAGAGAGAATTTGTATACCTTTCTTTTTATTGCTACTTGACACAGGTGAAAGCATACAGTAAAAGCATTACATTTGTTCTACCTGAATAACTTAAACAATAGAATACCTATGTATCAGTTCCCTTTACAGTAATAATTATAATTAAGGAAACCCCACAAACAGCAAGACAAACACTGCCTTCCAACACATGAATCTTCAGCCCTGCCTTATTATAAGGCAACCAAATACACTTCCCAGACATGTCACGTGGGGCAGCATTCTCCAAAAGACAAGAAAGAGGGGCAAGTCTCTAATAATGAGAAAGTACAGAAGACATCCATGAGGAAATGCTCTCTTTCTTGAACCTATTCATGCCAAGTTTTAATACTCTTACTCAGGCTGAATACCATCTCATACGTAATGAGACAGCTCCAGGAGTATGGAACTGCTTACAACCTGGGCAGGAGAATCTAGGTCTAAATTAGGACCACATATTAGCTTAATGCAAAGTGCTGTACGACGTTGGGAGTCCCTTTATTTTTCCAGTGGACTATGGAAGGTGTTAAACTGCATAGAATCTCGATGGTTGGGTATTTGACCAATCAAATAAAGTTTGGTCAATCTACTGGTCAAATATTGGTAAAAAATTGCCAATAGGTCCAAATCATACACAGAAAAAGCACAAATTTTCCCTTAAAATGCATTAAAAATAAAAAATCATATTTCTGTCAAGAAAACTACAGAAATGTAATTTTTTTGTAAAGTTGCTATAATCATTAACTAGTCAAAAAATACGCAGACAATTGATTGGTCAACTGACAATATTTGACCAGTCAATTGACTGGCTTGCCAACCCTAGTGTGAACTACTACACGTGTAAATGCATGCACCGATTAATAAAACTTTAACTCTTTATCTTAGTTAAAATTAGTTCTTGGATTAGAAACCAAACAACAGAATGAACATTTTTAAAATGGGGGGAAAAAACGGAAAGAATTTACTTTAAGAACACTTACCAGTTGCAGTGAACAATCCAACCAAAAAATTCATGTTCCTGTCTCCCACCATGACCATTTCACTTGTGCTCCTATTTTTCTTATCTCTTTTGCTTCTCAAAGAAGCCCAGATTCCAGTGGCTAAAGTTATGGCATAAAACACACTCAAACCTACCAACCCAGGTATATTCAGACCCATTTTTTGCAAAGTAATTCAGATCACACAGATTAATATGGATTTATGATTAGATGTTAGATCTTCAGTCTTTCGTCTTCTGTCTATTGAGATGTAATTCCAAATGCTGGAAGCCACATCATTCAATCCTTCCTCACAGTGGTAGAGATCGCTGGAAGTGAAGGTCTTTGCTGTGACTTGCCTGTGTCCCAGTATTTATCCTAGAAGTAGAACCTTGATGCCAAATGAAAAATTTCTTCTTGAACAGTTTGCCAGTCTGTATTCTTAGCTGGAGTTTGCAAGTCTAGACCTCTAAACTGCTTCTTTTAACTGCACTGTTTTGTAAAAGGATTAATGGCCACAACTCCCGAGATGACCTTTAGTTCAACAATAAACCTAAGGATCTAATGTACACCAATAGTGACTGTGGAGTGTCAAGAAGAGGAAGAGCTAGGAAGTGCATAGTGTTTTTCTTTTTAATATAACACTTTGTAAACAGATGGTCGGTGGCCCCGCCATGCACTGTGTTCTGAAAACATTCGGCAAGCTGGCCGTGGAAGGTCTGATAGTCCTGATAGCAGAATGAAGGATAGTTCAAGGCCCCTTGTGCTGCTGTGTTTGTAGCTCAGCAATGAGAGTCCAACAGCACCCATTTTGTTTGACTAAGAGACCAGTCCAGAGTGCAGTTGCACATCTGAGAGACTCTTAACTACAGTTTTGACAGAGCAGATAGATTTGATAGAAGTCTTACTATGAGTGCAGGCATATTTTTTCCACTGTGTTCTCCTCATCCATCAAACTGGTTACTCTGTCAAAGAAGAATATCAAGTTATTTTGGCATGAACTTTTCAGAACAAATTATGTTAGCTCCTGGTGCCTTCTTCAGATGTTTACAAACTGGCTGTTTTATCATTTGTGCTGGTTACCTCCCAGGTATCGAATGTAGGCTGGTGGAGGATTCCCTGGGTCCCCCTTTTCTCTTTTTTGAAGATGGACACTGTTAGCCCTTCTCCAGTCCTGTGGGACCTCCCCTTTCATCCATGTCCTGGCACATATTATGGCCAGTGGCTCTGTGATTTCTTCAGCTAATTCCTTCAGGACCTTAAGAAGAATTTTGCCAGACATTTCTGATTTTAAAATAATTCAAATTATTGAATTTGAATCTGGGTGGCTGCCTGCTGGATGACAGGAGGCTGCTGTTGCTGACTGGGGCCAGAGGCAGCACCAGTCTTCCCGGCACTGGGTGCAGGTTGCGCCCAGCGCTGGTCCCAGCTGGTAGCAGCAGCCTCCTGTCATCCGGCAGGCAGACCAGAGGCCCGCACTCCTGGAAGGAGTCCGGCAGAGCCCCACAGCCCTCCAGGGGGTGCAGATGGGCCCCTGATCCGCCTGCCAGATGACAGGAGGCTGCTGCTGCTGACTGAGACCAGCATTGGGTGCAACCTGCACCCACCACCAGGGAGATTGGTGGTGCTGCTGGCCCTAGCTGGCAGCAGCAGTCTCCTGTCATCTGGCAGAGAGATCAATGGCCTGCCTGCACCCTCAGGAGGGCTGCAGGGGCTGTGCCAGACTCCTCCTGGGGGTGTGACCCCTGATCTGCCTGCTGGATGACAGGAGGCTGGTTCTGCTGCAGGGGGCCAGCGGCAGCACCAACCTTCCCGGCGCTGGGTGCAGGCTGCACCCAGTGCCGGTTCCAGGTGGCAGCAGCAGCCTCCTGTCATCTGCCAGGCAGATCGGGGGCCTGCACCCCTGGGAGGAGTCCAGCACAGCCCTGCAGCCATCCAAGGGGTGTGGACGAGCCCCCAGTCTGCCTGCTGGATGACAGGAGGCTGCTGCTGCGGGCTGGGACTGGCGCTGGGTGCAGCCCGTGCTGAGCGCCAGAAAGATTAGCACTGCTGCTGTCATCCAACACACAGATCTGGGGCCCTGCACCCCCGGGAGGGCTGGGGGCTGTGCCAGAATCCACCCCGGGGTCACGGCCTCCAGTTCTGCGTTGGATGACAGGAGGCTGGTGCTGCCAGCTGGGACTGGCGCTGAAGCCAAGCAAGCCCGTCTTCAAAACTTTTGAAACTTTCTGAGCGCCCTTGTTTCATTTTGAAGTTGTTTTGAAAGCTTTTGTTTCAGTTTGCTTTTGCTATTTCAAGCTCAAAATGCATCGAAACAGCTTCGAAATTAAACACCCGGCGAAATTTCGCCCAGCCTGAGTCTTAACCTTTGTCCAGAATCTTTGATTTGAGGCCCAAATACAATGTTCTGCAGGCATTTATTCCCCTTTTTTGTTTAATTTATTTAAAAGGGAAGTCCTCTGCAGAAAGATAAAACCTTTTCTATCCTTCAGAACAGACTAAACAGTTCAGAGTGTATTATCAGTTACTTCTCTTCAAGTGAGTCATTAATTTCTCCAATTTAGAAAAGAAAACATTTAGTTTTTGTTCCCAAAAGATCTTTCTTCTCTCCTTTGATATGTTTTTAGAATGACATAAAGTTCCATAAAATTTGTTAGTTTTGACTGGTCATGACATATGCGTTACTAAAATAGAAATGTATTCTTATTGTAGTGATAGTTCTGACTCCTGAGGAGGCAAAATCTCTCTCTCATTATCTGGTTTTAGAGGGGCCCTTCTCTGTCAAAATCTATTAAAACCACATATGACTAATAAAAAGTTGTTAGTGTCTTAAACAGTAAAACAATGTAAGCATTAGCTGTATTAGCCAGCATAGGGAAATCATTAATTGTGTTTCAAAGCATACTCTGATACTTTATTTTCATTTAGGATCTCAAGGCACTTCATAGATACCGGTGAATAAAGTCCCATGTAAAGATGGGAAGCAAATTAATTCCCAATTTTACAAGCATGTAGAAGTGAATTCATTTATTTAAGGTTATACCTGAAATCCATTGCAAAGCAGGGAACTGGAAAACCATCTTCTCCCTCTCAATAGCAATACAGTATTACACAGCTCAATACATTATAGGCACATCTCCCCCTATGGTGACATTGTTATTGGGCTGTGCTTTAATACTTCCTTTTGGAAATACTAAAGCATGATGCAGTAACCACCCTGTGCCATGCTCACAGCGCATGGTTAGTTTTAGCCACTACTTTGCCATAGCAGCACACTAAAATGAGGTAGCATGCTGCTACAGCAAAGTAGCTGCCAGTCACTTGTAAACTCATGTGACTGCTACCTCACTGAAGCGTGTTGTATAACAATGTAGCGCATCACTACGGTGATGTAGGGTGACACGTAGATGTGTCCTATGGGGAGTTTGTCTTTTTTTTAAACAACTAGTATTGGCCACTCTTGAAAGCAGGATTTTTGAGTACCTGAACTATTGGTCTGTTACAATATGGAACATCCTATAAGAACATAAATAGTATTACAAATAGTAAAAGTTAAAGAAAGGCAAAACTCTTACTCCTGCTACATAATAGAATACAATGCGTGTCTACACATGTTGCTATGGCAACATTGTTACTGCACCTTTTGGAAGTACTAAATCATGGCACAGTAACAGCCTATACTGCACTGTACGAGCAGTGCATGGCTATTTTTAGCAGTTACCTTGCTACAGTGGAACGCTATACCAAGGGAGTGCATCACTACAGCAAAGTAGCTGTTGGTCACATGTAGACATCCATGGACACTACGTTGCCATTGCCATAATGCATTGCTATGGTTATGTAGCATCACGTAGAAGTGCCCACAGTTGATCATATTCATAGAATTATAGAAAGTTAGGGTTGGAAGGGACCTCAAGAGGTCATCTAGTCCAACTCAAAGCAGACAGTACCCAACTAGATCATCCCAGCCAAAGCTTTGTCTGTCTGGGTTTTGAAAACCTCCAAGGATGGAACTTCCACCACCTCTCTGGGTAACCTGTTCCAGTGTTGTACTACCCTCCTAGTGAGAACGTGCTTCCTAATATCTAATTTAAACTCCCTTGCTGCAACCTGAGACTGTTGTCCTTGTTCTGTCATCTGCCACCACTGAGACCAATCTAGCTCCATCCTCTTTTGAACCTCGCTTCAAGTAGTTGAAGGCTGCATTAAATACCCCTCAGTCTTCTCTTCTCTAGACTAAATAAGCCCAGTTCCCTCAGACTGTCCTCAGAAGTCATGTCCCCCAGCTCCCTCACCATTTTTGTTGCCCTCCACTGGACTGTCTCCAATATGTTCACATTCTTTCTATAGGGGGGCCCCCAAAACTGAACACAGTACTCCAGATGCGGCCTCACTAGTGCTGAATAGAAGGGAAGAATCACTTCCCTGGACCTACTGGCAACACACGTACCAATGCAGCCTAGTATGCTGTTAGTCTTCTCGGCAACAAGGGCACACTGCTGGCTCATATTCAGCTTATT